CTACTACTACTACTACTACTACTACTACTACTACTACTACTACTACTACTACTACTGAAAAAGCTTTTTGTACCGTTTGGTTGATGGGGGGATCTATCAGGGGAACCTTTACAAATCTATACAAGTTGGTAATGTCACGGACTACTTCAGTTCATCACCGGCCGGAGGCCAACACCGCTCAATGCTCAACGTTTCAAAGGGCTCGGTCTTTCTGTGGCTGACAAAGCGTGGAGCAAAATCACATGCGCAAAGCCTGGCGGCCGTGGGGGCCCGTGACACCCAAATCTTTGAAGAGTTTCACACGAACTGCAAAAGGAAAGCTCTGTACTTGGATTCGCAACTTCGAAGATTTTGCTGTTGAGGATATAGAATCCACTGTTCGAGTTGTTTCTCCTTACTTCTTGTGGGTGTTCATTGGTGACGGAGATTCGGAACGATGCCCCTTGAGCCCTGCCTTGATGCATCTCTTCGGGCGCATCAAGCAAGCTTCGGTTTAACCAGCCTCGAAACGGAAATGGTTGGACACAATAAGCTACTAGGAACAAGTGCATCGCTTCTAGTAACAAGTGCCTTACTAGTAGTAACAATGTTTGCTATTAGAAGCAAGAATAATTCTCTTCATCACAACGACTTTGAGTTGGACCTGCGGCACCCGAAATTCGGGGAAATGCGGTTTTGGAATCTGGTCACCCGCAAAGCATCTAGTAACAAGAAGCTACTAGTAGCTCCTGGCATACTAGTAACAAGGGCATTACTACCAGTAACAAGAAGCTACTAGTAACAAGGGCATCGCTACTAGGAGCAATCGGACGCTACGAACAGGGCTCCTGGCCTTACTACGAGGAGCAAGAAGCCTACTAGTATTCATTTGCTTCGACGCTTCGCAACGGTCCCAGCGCCCCCCCCTTGACCGTCGGCGCCTTAATCCGCTCGCCGTTCTTCCATTCGCCTCTGGTCTCGACGCCGTTCACATCGATCTCAGTGCCGGGAGCCATGGAACGCCCGATTCGCTGGAGAGGTTGGAGCCTTCAATAACAAGTGGCTGATAGGGAGCAACATACCAATTTTGTTCCAAGTATATAATCATTCACCTTCTCTATAGGCTTTACCACCATCTTATCTCTCAATCTGAAGATTATTCTTGATCTCTGGCTGAAGATCACCTTCAACAGCCATCCTGGGGCTTCCCTGCTGTGACACCATGGCCATCTTGTTTGCCATTGCTCCTCGGTCAAGACTCTGAGTGGGAAACAGCTCATAAAGCTCTACAAAGCTTAGAAGGCTCAAAAGCCCTTTATTTCTTTGGACCATTTGGATCACCTGGTTTAACGTGGAACAGCGAGACCGACAGCGTTCTCTCGTTTTTCTTCGCTCGGTCCAAAAGACCCGTCCGCTTCGGTGGGGAAAAAAACGGCTCGAGCAGACCGAGCGACCCGGGTTCGAGTCCGGGGACATATATCAGATATGCAATCTGTGTGAAAATGGCGCAAAGCAGTTCTAGAGGAAGGCCGTGCTTTCAAATTCTTCATCCTGATTACGGCTTCCGCCTCTGCCGTGGCAAGCTGTGGCTTCACTCAGATCGAAGCTAGCAGTCTGCGAACTCTGGGTTGACCCCTTTCGTTCTTGTTACTCGTAAGGCCGGGAGCTACTAGTAGCGTCCGATCGTTCCGTTCGTAGCGATGCCCTTTGGTCCGTTCGTAGCTTTCTTGTTACTATATAGTAGTTTTTTTGCATCATTCATTATGGCTTTGTTGATTGTGTTGACATGTGAACAACCATCAAAATGCCATCATCTCCACGAACAGCACCCCGAATCACCAACCATACGTCGACTGCCCTCCGGGTCTCCCAGCCACTGGCCACGATAGGAACGTCCGTCGGGCCAAATGAAAACGCCCTCGCCGTTCTTCATGTCCTTCTCATATTGCCCCTGGCGGCGCCAACTAGTAGCGATGCCCTTGCTCCGTTCGTAGCTTTCTGTTCCTCGTAGTACGGCCAGGAGCCCCATTCGTAGCGTTCTTGCTCCTAGTAGCGATGCCAGGAGCCCCTAGCAGCTTCTTGTTTCTAGTAGCGCTTAGTGTAGGTCTATAAGACCTTTTCTACAGAGTCACGGAAGGAGCATGTGTGGCTCACGTCTCCGTCACAGTCGCCGTCGCCTCGTAAGTGGAGCCATTTGGCCATTCCATCTTACCTTTGCCATTCCTGGGCGATGAGTGCGGAAAGCTTGGTGTTCGAGTCTCGAAATCATCTCCGGGCTCCCAACATGTGCCCACGCCTGGGCGCAGGAGGCTGCGATCTCACGAAGAATTGGCATCTGGATCAAAAACGAAGCGAAGCCCACTGGGCTGCAGGCTGCCACTGTCCGGTGTAGGTTCGCCCATCTGCAAACTTGTAGACCTCACGAAAGCGAGAACAGCGCTTTAGAGAGCGAGCGCACGGTGCAACGAGTCTTCGACCGCACTGGGAACAACAACAACAACAACTACTACTACTACTATTACTACTACTCGTCGTTTGACTGCCGCAACCAATCCGTTGCGTCAACTGGAACTCTCCGTCTCGACACGTCGACCGAGACGACGTCCGGCGACGAGCGTCGAAACGAGGGGACCAAGCTCAGCTGAGCTGGAGTGTCGATTGAGCTATGGACACCATAGCCATCCATCTTGTCATTCCTGAGATCGCAGCAATCCAATATCCATTCGGGTGAAAGAAATTGGCTTCGCGGTTGTTATGTCACAAGCAAACCCCTCATCTACGTTCTATGTACTAATAGGTTCTCAGCTGCCTTTCATTAGTGGCTTCTGAGGGTCTCCTGATATCTTTTGGTGACACGCATAAATGGATCTGCACCCCGTGCCTACACTCACATCGCTTGCGATGGAGGGACCTCAATTGCTCTTCCACACACGTCACAAACAACTAGACAATGCCAGGCATCTTGAATTGCCCCTCATAGACCACGCCAGTAGCAGACTTGTAGATGCCAGTCTGAAGCAGGACAGGGCGAAAGGTGCTAAGTCAAAAGTTAAATGCTACATCATGCTACCATAGATTTCACACCGAGTCTTCTTGAGACACAAATATATTACAGTATATGACATTGCTTCAGCAGCATGATGTGTCCATCTTGTAGACCTATCTTCAGATTGTTGTGACCTGCCTCCAAGCCAAATGAGTCTAAAGCAAATTCTGTGACTGAAGTGGGTGTATGTCAAACACAACCCAAAACCTGTTGTAAAGAGGACTAGCGATTGGTTGATCCATCAGTTTTGAACATCAAACAGGCGATTCTGAGCCGCCCCCACACCATGCTTGGAGCCATGCTGAAACTGACCTTCGTACCTGGAGAAAACGGAAACACAAACAGCTCTCTTCCAACATATCCAGCATGCTCTGTCACCAGACCCTTCAGGACCCCTTTGGGGTGAGACCCTTCACTCTCAAGTTCACTCTCGTGGAAGGTCTGGTCTGTTTCGTGTGTCTTTCCCACCTCGCGCCGTCAGCCCAGCACTCGACGCCCTTCCCCGACTTCTCATCTTGGACCCACCTGGGGGTCGAAGGTCCGAAGGGCGATCACCAGTCTGTGACACACCCTGCCCACCAGTCTGCGATCACCCACGTCATTTAAAAGAATATAAACTAAAAAAAGCACTGACTGACGTGACCGTCTCCAGAATAAGTGCCCCAACTCGCCCTCGTAGGTGCTGCCATCCACATGGACATACCTCACATTGGTGAGACTGATCTGGCAGCGAAACGCAGGATCTGAGTTACAATTTGGTTCAAAAGAAGAGTATTACAATTGCATACAGTACCATATTCTGGCCCCAAAAACCGCTCTCTTGGGATTCAGGGTCTTCGGGCTTCGAACTTCAGGCCTCGCCCTAAGTGGCACCAGACTTTCAGGCTCCCAACACACTGCTTTAAGGCACAATCTTGATCAACTTACTAGTAGCTTCTTGTTACTAGTAGCAATGCCCTTGTTCCTAGTAGCGATGCACTTTGTTACTAGTAGCTTCTGTAACTCAAAGACTTAACCTGATGTTCAACCAAAAGTGTCGTGCAACCATTCGAGGGTCTGCTGTTGGCGCACTTGCCATATCCGTGGGCACGATCCTGGCATTTGACAAGTGGGCATGATCCGAACCAACTAGCGATGGCCTCCACCCTAGTAGCTTCTTGTTACTAGTAGTAAGAATGCTCCTAGTAGCGATGCCAGGAGCCCCTAGTAGTGTCCTTGTTCCTAGTAGCGATGCCCTTCTTACTAGTAGCTTCTTGTTACTACTAGTGATGGCCTCCACCCTAAGAGCGATGGCCTCCACATGCGCGCGCCCACTGCGCCGACTCCTCGCGTCGCAAACCGGCGTCGCTCCTGATGCCATTGGCCCTCGTAGGTGTTTCCATTCGCGGCCTCAAAAATGCCATGGCCTGGCGATTACGAACAAAGATCGATTGGTGCAAAGAGAAGGATTGGTTGGCAAAATGTCTGATCTCCGCTTGAAAAAGGAGCTTCCAAGCGGTATCACCATGAATCTTTTCTCATGTTCCATACCTGTGTCAGGTATGCATTGGCGAGTTGAAAATGCAAACGCGCTTGATCATGTCGGAGAAACAAGGTATGAGTTCTAGTTCTAGCTATGAACAATTGTTGCTCCAATCCCTGCTAGTTCACGCCTTGCGCACGATTGTCCACAAAGGAACCACGATAAGTCTGCCCATCAGGCCTCACAAAGCTGCAAACGCTTGACATGCTTTGACATGCTTTGGCATGAGTGTGTATTAAGATAGGAAGGCCTCCCAATGAACCCCCGAAAGAGGGGAAATGGACCAAAACTCACTGGTTGAGAGCATTGAGAACCTTCCCAGTCGAGCTCGGTGGTCCACGCCTGGTCAGAACACCTTGGCCGTATCTTTGCTGACCTCGCCACTGACCCTTGTACCTCAAACAGAATAAAAGAAGGCACAAAAAATGGCAAGAAGAGGGAGCATCAGCTTATCAGAAATCAGCAAGACAAGGTCAGATTGTTGTTCCTCGGCCTGGCAGCTGTAGCTCCCCGCCATAGCTGCCAGTCTCTAGGTTGCTGATCCACAAGGAAATTCGGTTGTGTAAACCCTGAAAATCCCCGCATTTGATGCCTGTCCCTCCCGATTGCCTGATTGCGCTACCAGATCCGGCCCCCTGGTGCCCATCGAAAGAGGCTTCACCTCTCTGGTTAGGCCATTCCTATTCGCCTGGAGTCCATTCCTATTAGGTTGGAGGCCATCGCGACTAGGGTGGAGGCCATCGCTAGTAGGTTGGAGACCATCGCTTCTTGCGAAAAGTTCAA